TTACCGTCCAAATAGAAGAGCGAGGAAATAGCAAACGTCCGGAGGGAGCTCCGAACACTGGGGGCGAAGAAGTGGTGAAGAAAGAGAAGCACTTAGTCAACTCAGAAATGGCCTAAGGAGTTTAGAAATGCAGAGAAAGTCAGGACCAACAGGCAAGAGAACAGAAATAGAGCATGTTTCATCCGGAATTACATTAAAGTGCCTGAGGGGAAGAGATCTGGAAAAGTTATTATACCTAAAGAAGATGTTGATGCATGCTTAGTATTTCTGGAAAACTTATTAAACCTAAAGAAGATGTTAAAGCATATTCGAAGGAGATACACTCGGATGAGACCAGAGATGAACCACCCAGAGAGAATAATACAATAGTTGCTGTACTACCTCCCCAGAAAACTCTAGATATTGGAGAACCAACTCTCAAAGAAATCAGAGAAGTGGTGAGGCCACATAACCCATGCTTTGTACCAAAGGAGGAGAGATCAGCAGAGATCATGCTTTCTAAAACTATATCACTCCACAACGTGAAAGCAAGATTTCCTTTTAATGCTTGTGATAAGGATGACATCCTACATAGTGGTGAAAGGATACGGGTATGTAAAATACATAAGTGCAGAAAGGGGGCATATTAGGGTTTCCAAGGATGCCTAGAACATAGCATTGTCATCTCTCAACTGATCAAGGAGGCAAAAGAGACTAAAGGTCTGGCTGAATCTGGCGAATTTCAATTGTACAGTTTCACGTTCATGTAAGCTCATAGAAAAAGCGCTTGAGTACTACCGGGTACCAAATAAGATCGCCGTAGTTTTAAAGGATTACCTAGAAAAGATTAAGAGTGTGACAGCGGCACGAGAAAGGCATAACTATATGTTGCATGTGTACTACATCTGTAATCTTTTTTCGTCATGGCAATAAATCTTTTGGAGAGAAAGAGAGACAAGGGAACCAATGGCCAAGGCAGCTACTGAGCAGAGGCTACATTCTAGTAGATGATTTGTACGTCATCTGCAGCCACATGGCCCCGAATGAAATCAAGCCTACGAAATCGATGTGTATGGTTATAAGGAAACGACATATCACTCAAAGATTCATGCTAAAAATCCAAGGCAATTGCAGAGAGATTCCATCTAACATCTAGATGCCTAAGCACGACACACTGAGGGGCGTAAACAATAGCCGGCGGCTAGAACAGGAAACAACTGAGAGGCTGCTTAACATCGTCAAGAAAGGATTGCCGTTGAAATTTAAGGCGTGGATCTTCCAGCACAAACTTTTAAAGGAATATCAGTCGATATCTATGCTTATGGATTTTCATCGCTTTTCATCGGTTGGATTTTTACAGCAAGGGCAGATATCCTATTAAAATAACATTAAAAAACATGATAAAACGGATGGTGATAGAGCTGACAGCACCATGTTAGTCAGGAATCCACGAATGCAAACATGTAAAGTATGATGATCTAGTGACTAAGTGCAGGAATGCAGGACTGCAGGTGTGGAACTTTTACTCAAAGAGAGGGGACGAGAGGTTTTCCAGCAGCATCATATTGGAAGATAATGGCAGCACTTGGAGTGGTGGAAGAATAAAGAAAAGATCATGGCGATGACAGTCGTGATGGATTTAAGCTAGCTGTGGCTGAGAAGACAGTAGCTGGAAACCTGACCGTCGGGAGTAGAAGATTGATCACCTTCTGTTGTCCCGCCATCCTGAGGACATTCCAGGTTATTTAAAGATGAAACGTCTGGAGACGGATGGACCCGGCTGATGACTTGACGGTCTAGCAGCAGAACATCAAATCTGTCTTAGGTAATTGCCCAAAATTCCTTTCATAATAATTGAATTATGAGGTAATGTTAAAGAAAGAAGCACTGAGCATTAATGTTTCTTATTATAGTCTATCCCAAGTTAGGAACCTCATCACTTTCTGTATTATATCTCAAATAGGCAAATACATAAATACCTCAGTTTTCTTTTTTTCAAACTGCTTTGAAACGATTTCTTGAGTTCAAGTAGTGTATTGACTCAGCTGCCACTTCGAATAGGGATCTGTTATTTTCCTTTGCTTATATTCAGTGAATGATGACAAATGATAGCACACGTTCGGAATCAATTTAGAGGTCACATTAGAATGATTCGTAAAAGACGACTGTTCAAATATACTTTTAAGAGAAATGTACATGTTCTTACATTTTGAAAAATCGTGTCATGCTAGTTTATGTTAATATATATCCATACATATGGGCTGAAGGTGATAAACTGGAGTAACTGTAATTTGAATGTTGCATTTTCTTCCAAGGCTAGTCAAAATTTATTTGCTAAGGGGGGATCACTGGACATCTTTCTGGATCTGCCCTTGAAGTCATTATATTGGCAAGATTTGTAATGTGACTGTAATACAGCATTGCTCTGCAGTGACTTTAATGTTTGCTCGATCATGACAATGACCACACGGCGGGTGTGACCGGTCGACAGGGGATGCTTACTCCTTCGTGGCGCCTGATCCCATCTCTGACGTTTTTCTACGTGTCCGTGTTTGCCCTGCTCCTGATTTGTATTGTTTCAATGGACTTTTGAGCTTGATTACTGTTCGTTATTTCAATATTTCATGTTTGAATTATGACTTCAAGTAAAATTGATTACACACCTTAAGATCACTAGATAGGCCCCATTTACACTCAAGTTTGAATTCATTCTAATCGAGGGTTAAAATTTTAAGATTGGATATAATTTCAATATCCATAGCCCAGTGAACTTAACCTGTGCGATATGCTCTTGAGATCGTGGCACTTAAAGGACATGGGAAGCAAGATTTTATAAACTTTATTCCATTCCAATCATAATTCCAAGAGCTAAGGCCTCAAGATAATTTTTTTTTACAGACAAGGATATTGAATTTTCTTCCTCTCATAACTTTGAAATCCTTGATTGGATTGAACTCAAACCTGAGTATTTTTTTTTTGGTCTTTGGTCTTAAGGCGCTCCACAGCCTTTAAATACACAGAGTCATAACAACGGTTCAGGCCAGCATGATATTGAACCTTAAGCCAATATTAAATTTGAATACTAGTAACTAATACATTACGACATGTCTTCAAAGGTCAAAGGGAAGCAGTTTTTGTCCGCCATTTTTTTTTCATTCTTATACGATAGCATCCAGGTCATACATGTAACTATAATGTTTTGAACCCTAGGCTTTCAATATTTGGCATAAGAATAATGTATGCTATGCCATATTTCATATGACGTTGACCAATGCCCCAAGAGTCACTAGTTTTGGGGCAAGTAAGCGTTTTATATTTAAACCTGGCTTGTGATATTTGGCATACTGGTAAATTATCTTAAAGATTGATTGATTGTATTGTGTTTTACGTCCCATTCGAGAATTTTTTACTCATATAGAGACGTCACCATGTACCGGTGAAGGGCTTCAAATTTAGACCTTTACTAGGCACTCAGGGCCATTGAGCAGTGAGGGTTCTTCCGCAACTTTCACTTCAAGGTGCCGAGCGCTTGATGAAGGAACAGTTGCTACCTATTTTTTATCGACTTAGGTCAGTCGCGGCCGTGATTCGAACACATGACCCTCCCATTTATCTTAAAGAAATATCATACCGGTAAGTAACAAATGGCACTACTGTCCTTTTATTCAAAATAAGTAAGGTTATCTAGACAAGAACTGTTTATTAATCTTTTCACTAAGGATTATGAGATTTGGTAAGAGAATGCATCATCATGGATCCATGTATGACCTTGATGACTGATCCCTGAAAACTTATGCAGGCTAGAATTGCTTAGAATAATACAACCTACTAGGATTGTGCTATTTGGCATATGGGTGCATATGTCACCAAAAAGAAATGAGGACTATGGACAGGGTTGGCCGGGAAATACCAGTGGTAAATACCGGTATTTCCCATCCCGGTAAATACTACAGATTTTCTCTACACTTGGAAATATTGGGAAATACAAAGTTTTTTTTTTTATTTCTTTAATTTATTCAGTCTTTTACATAATTCAGAAATAAAATAAACATTAAAACAGAGTATGACTTATACTGAATGTCTCAAGCTCCTAATTAACATATTCAGAGTTTATCACTACTCCAGGTCTCCTCCCATAAGCATTCTTTAGCAGAACATGTTTCCCTGGCTGTATTTTAAGAACATAACTGAAGTTTTTCAATTCAGATTTCTTTTCAGTTTTGTAAAATTATTAAGTTTATTAATTATAAATCCAAGAACAAAATAAACTTGTTTTCATCCTTCTATAAACACTGTAGTTAATACAATCAATCATGTTGTTTCAACAAATTGCTCTGGGCAGTTTGTACTCCTTAAATAGACCTGAAAGACTTCTTTTTACTTTTAGGTTTGATATTTACACCACATTCTACATTTAACAATTTTTTTTAGATCCTTCTTTAGTTACATAAAATAAACTTAAATGGGACCTTTATAGACTTGTCTGACTCAAGTCTGAAACAAAATGACACTCATGACTGATTTATGAATATACTGTAATTATGTGATTTTTTAAAATGAATTTATGAAAAAACAGAAATGTTCAAATCAGGGAAAATGATAGCAGGTAGATATCTTGGCCAATAAGGTGTACTACATGATTAAAATTATGAAATATGTAGCTATTGCTTATTTCCCAATATTTCCCAGGAAATTACGAGTAGTTCCCAGGAATTATCTGTATTTCCCACCGTTCTGGGAAGTATGTATTAAGTATTTCCGGATATTTTACCAACCCTGACTAAGGATGTCACCATAAATGAATAAGTTATGTGCCATTATGACATTTGTATTACTCTGACCTCTGCAGTGCACTTGTTGAAAGTGAAGACATAAATGTTAGCATATTTAAAGACTGTTTCTAGTTTATATATGTATCAAAGTGGTTATATTTATAAAAAAAGAAACCCACACACGATTTTAAGACTCCAACATCATGACTGAAACAAACTCGAAAGTGTCAAAATATCAACAAAAAAACATGTGTGTAGAACTGTATATTCATTTTGTAGTCAGTTTATAACATGTGAACATTCAAATCAATATTCAACATAAATTTGAACAAAAACATTTAAGTTTAAAAAAATCATAATATCACATGAATATCATTAAAAAAAATCCCTCTGCACTCATAATTCACTTTTTCCCTTGGCAAATAACCCCACTGGGCAAGAAACCCCTGTACCCCCAAGTCCACAATAACCATTAGGATTTTTGTGCAAATATTGCTGATGATAATCCTCTGCATAATAAAAGTCTGGTACCGGGAGGATTTCTGTGGTAATTTTGCCCAATCCTTTCTCATTCAGTTTTTGCTGGTACACATCTCTAGAGGCTTCAGCCAGCTTTTTTTGTTCCTCATCGTAATAGTAAATGCCAGATCTGTACTGAGTCCCTACGTCATTTCCTTGTCGCATTCCTTGTGTTGGATTGTGATTTTCCCAGAAGACCTATTGAAAAAGAATAAATTACACTAATTATATGAAGGCTTTCAGTTTAAAGTATGAAATGATTCATCTTCCTACTAAACTTGAGGAAAAGTTTTCACGTTCATAGTGAGTCAATAGTCAATACATGTATCATCATAAGGACATTTACTAACAGACTGCCTCTCATGAAAGTATTGCTTTATCATACATTAACACCACTAACCTTGAGCATTTCTCCATAAGAAGTTTTATTGGTCTCATATACTACTCTAACCACTTCATTATGGCCTGTGAATCCAGTGCATACTTCTTTATAGGTAGGATTAGGGGTATACCCAGCAGCATATCCCACCTAAACCAAAATAGATTTAAAGTGTGTTGTATTAAAAGTATAATCAAAGAAGACTACAGATCAATAAGGAGAATCAACAAGGAACATGACAATTTATTACAAGTTAAATCATAATCATGTACCTGGGTTGAAAATACTCCATCTGTTTTCCAGAACTTTCTTTCAGCACCCCAGAAACAACCCATTCCTTGAGACAAGAATGTATAGGAGTCTTTAAAAGTGTGATCAACATTTTAAACTTGTCAAATAAAACAGATAAAAATACTAAACATTGATAAAAATCAACAAATCACATTTTTTTTAAGTGTTGAATATTTCAAATCAACCTTTTTAACATTCAACATTTTAAGATGTAAATCACTAAAAATCCCTTGATAACCAAAATAAGTAAATCAAACATAATCTAAAACCACTTAATAAAGATTGTATGTGTTCAAAGACTTTTTGTCAAAGATCATAATGAATAATCATATATTAATTAGAAATGTAAAATTCCCTACTGTTTCTCAGTTACCTGATCCCAAAGATAATGTTGCCTTTTCTAGTTTAAATATGTTTAAAGTACAAAAATCTTTCAAGACCAGAAGTTCCTAGCTGATATGACAGTAGCTCTACAGGTTTAAACTTGCAATAAGCGAGAAGATTGCTGTTGAACTTCATACATGTCTGTTTTGAGATTTACATTTTTTGTACATATATGGATTTTTTTATTTCCTTCAAAAATCTCAGTTTAATATAATCAATAATATTGGTATAAAAGGATGTTTAAAGAGAATTCACTGATTTTTTTTTCCAAATGTCACAAATTCAATCTTGCTGATGAGCAAATATCAAATTTTTACCAATTCACTTTGAGAGATTCAGAAGCATCACAAGTTCTATTTACAAGCATTAAATGAAAATTGTTGCACAAGAAAGATTTTTTAATTCAAAATACATTTCGTAAGTGTTACACTTCACTCACCAAACATTGCCATCTTTGTGTTCTCTGGGAATGGTGGAACAGTGGGGTTTCCATTTACAGCATGCTTGTTGGAAACTATCATTTTTTCTTCCCTCCCTATGTAACAAATACCGGTAGGACATTTTTATAGAATGTCTACCACAGTTATACATGTAATTAAGAAAAGGCTGATTTACATGAGTCAAGAATTTCAAACATTTTTGTTTGGTGAAGAGTTCAATGGAAAAATAGTAATACAATCATAAGCTTTTGTTATGCAATCCTATCTGAGAAACATTAAGAGGAATTCAACAAAAAAAGACTTGTATGCAACAATGGCAATTATCTGTTTCTCTATGATAACAAAATCTATACCTTTGTTCTAAACTATCAGAATATATTCAATATCTATATTTGTTACAACTAATCATGCTAATGACATTACTAGTTAGCTATCACATAAATAATGGTTATTCCTTATTTTAACATTTTTCAGAAAAAGGGTATTTACTGGTAAATAGATATTTTGAAATAACAAGAGGCCCAAGGGCCACATCGCTCACCTGAGCACTGTGGCTAGGAAAAAAGGAAAAATCAGTTTAGTATTGAAAAGCTTAAATGCATAAGTGGTCCCAACCTACCCCTAAAAAGGGAGTGGGGGGGGGGGGGTCATGATTTGAACAAACTTGAATCTACACTATATGAGGATGCTTCCGTATAAATATGACAAACCGTTGCTCTGCTGTTCTTGAGATTTTTAAAGATTTTTCCTATATATTCCTACGTAAAACTTTGATCGTTCATTGTGGCCCCACCCTATCCCCGGGGGTCATGATTTGAACAAATTTGAATCTACACTACCTGACAATAATTCCACATGAGTTTCATCTTTCCTGGCCCACTGGTTCTTGAGAAGAAGATTTTTCAATAATGCCATTAATTTTTTGCTATTTCGTAATTATCTCCCCTTGGAGGAGGGCGTGGCCCTTCATTTGTACAAACTTGAAACCCCTTCACCCAAGGATACTTTGTGCCAAGTTTGATTGAAATTGGCCCAGTAGTTCTGGAGAAGAAGATGAAAATGTGAAAAGGATGATTCTCTATAAGGCCATTTTCCGGCCTACGATAAAATCACTTAAAAATGTGATTTTATGTAACTTTAATCATTGTATTTCATGATTTTGATGTTTGTTTTTCAACATCGATCACCTAAGTCGCATGATTTAAAGATCACAAACGGCCGTCAAGTAAAGAAAAATTGAGGGTAGGTCTATTTACATCAAGTTTCTATGCATGTTTCTAGATTTAAATGATCAAAAATTGTTTATTTATGTCGGAAACATATCAGACTTAAGTAATAAGTGCAAAGATTGTTTAATTTAAGGCTAAAGATATTTTTTTATTGCAAGAATTTTGATGCATTCACATTTTGAATATTTTAAATGTAAATCTTTACAAAATGCACCTCGTATGATGTTGAAAAATGTTTAATTAGCATTTAATTAAAAGTATTATTTCACATATGTTTATATTGTAATTGTGTATTGTTTCTATAGATGTGGTACCTATTTTACGCATAAAATGCCCATGCAAGAAATGAGATTTCTAAGTTCCTATTGAACTATAAAAGTTGTGTATCAAATGTTTAAAGCATTGAATGAATTTTGTTTGTGATTAAATCAAAATTAAGTTGTAATTTATAAAATATAGTCTACATTTGCAAAAAAAAAAATAAATAAAAAAAAAGAAAAAAGAATTCATTAATTTACAGGATGAAAATATTAATGCAAGTACATGTTAATTGTCAGTACATAAAACTCAAAAAGGTTGTATTAAAAATATATATATCGACGTAAAATGAAATAACATCGTAAGAGTTGCTTTGATTCAATTTAATTACGCATGTAAAACAATAGATTTAATTTAAATGCTATCTAAACTATAATACACAAATGTATGTATAAAAGTCGAGTCCCCCCCCCCCCCCCCCCCCACGGCACTCCATAAAATGGAGTAGATTTTCAACAGTTCCTTCCACTACACATATCAGAAGTTTTAGTATATCCATGGACTAACAGAGTTCTACAACATCCCAGGTACAAAATGAACCGTAAGAGATGACACTCCTTTCGCACTCTTGAAACCTGAGGATTAAATTCTCTTTCCGTGCTGCGTCAAGAACTAAGTAGTTTAACACGGGTAGTGACAGTTCCTTTGCTAAGTCCTCAGCATTGAAAGTAAAAGTCATGGGTCTTTTGGATATTATCTTAAAGAAGGAGGTCCTGTCCCACGGTAGGTGTTGGTCAATACTGAAACCATGCATAAATCAAAATTGTGACACTTCACCTTAAGTGGATGATCTCTTTATCTGGGTGAAAAATTCTAAAATGACGTAAAGCAACATTCAATTATCAATCACGTGACATTTAGGAACCCCTTTCCTCCTTGGCGTTTTATTTTCTAAGACAGAACTACTGTTCTCATAACTTATATTGATGCTACCAAAGTTAACAAAATACATGGATCCTATGTCACTCATACGGAAAAGTGTCCTTCTAAAAGGTCGAGGAGAGAATTTCCATTATGAAACCATCCCATCAGTAATTCTCTATCTATAACAGTTACATGTGTACCCATAGAAAAATTAAGTTATAACACAAATAGCAAATGCATCTTCCCGCTACAACAAAAATAGCTTTTATCATTTCTAGAACTAATAACAAATATGCAGTACTCCTAAGGAAATACAAATACAAAGAAGTAGCATAGATAAACTAAACTATCCTTATAAATAATAATAATTATAATAAGTAACTTATATTCATGCTATATATCTATAAAAAAAAATTCTTTATTTCTAGCAGAGAGTTCAATGAGACTTGTCTTCACGTAATTTCATAACAGCCAGTCATTTCAGTCCTTTGATTTTAGATTTTTTAAGTAAAAAGTCTACCTTTTTGAGTAAACATGCATGGCTTATATTAATTCTTAGTAAATCAATAGAAACATGTACTCTAAGTGAAAGTTTATAATAAGAAATAATCTACATAAGCTGATATCCTTCATTGTGAGTAGTTAGCTTTTCCTGCAAATATCGTAAAAATGAAGCGAAAAGTTTTTATTTACATGTCATAACCACCTTTAACCAAGTTGATAATTTGGTAGTCACTTTTTATGCTCATAAGAAGTTTACATGCAAATTTTGGTGTTGGTTAAAGGTGGTTATGACATGTGTAGGAGTTACCTAACACACCAACCCTCTTGAGTTTTCCCATTACCCTAATGCTAATACGGACCGATAGTACCTTGCTTTGTGACCCTATATCATAACATATACTTTTGTATCATTAACCAATCAACATTTATCATTAAATTGGAACATTAGCCTACTGACTCATGCAGTTTTTAAGGGAAAAAATACTATCTGAAAATTTGAAGTCATTGTAGGCCGCAAAACGGCCTTATAGAGAATGATCCTTTACGACAACAACGACGCCGACGACGACAGACAACGGACAAATTTTGATCAGAAAAGCTCACTTGAGCCTTCGGCTCAGGTGAGCTAAAAAGTGGAGAACAAATCTGCAAAGTCTCTATCTTTTAAGTGCTGTTAAGAATATTGTACAGTTAAAGATTATATAGTAATTATCAAAGATTCCAGTTCCCTGAGGCAAGGACTATCTCACTGAGGCAAAGCCAATAGGAAATAATCCTGGTTGAGGGGAACTGGAATCTTCCTAACTCACTTCATGAAATACTTTTTAACTGCTTTATTATACCAAAAGTAAAATGTTGAGGATTACGGATAACAGGGAATTAGCTTGTGAAGCAGGGATTAGCTCATTTGACTAATGCATGGCAAAAGGGGGATTAGTCCATTCATAGCAACTCCTAGGGAAATCATTCACATCTAAATATCTTAGATGTAGAGGTATAATAATAACATTTACACATTGTTCAACATACAAAATCAAAGATATGGATGCCCACTCTAATGTATAATTTTATATAATTTAAGGCAAAGTTTCATACCAAATGAATGGTAAGATAAAATAGTTATAAAACAAAAATGAGCCCTTCATTAAACAACTGAAAAAAAAGTCACTTAAGTTAGTATGTATGTATCTCTAGAAGAATCATCAATGCAAGTTTGTTTTAGCTACATGTAGCTATGAGTAGATTTAAAAGTTACTTAGGAAGGGACTTGCTCCAAAACCTTTCACCTGAAACAGACAGGTCAGATGAAACATTGGAGGAAGATTTGGTAATGTGCATCCCTACTAAATGCATTGGTCAGGATCAGGCTTATATTTACTTAATAATAGACCTGCTTCAAAAAAATTTCCTGGTCATTCATCAAGAAAGTATAAGGTCAAATGCAACATCAAAAGAAAGTCTGATTATATATGCATCAGGGGATGCATCATCAATGAAAGACTAGTCTAACCATGGTAAGGACTATAACTACTTTGAAATGGACCTGCCTGGTTCAAAACTTTAATTTGTTTAATCATCTGGTAAATGTAGGTTTATACATTCAGCATCCAATGCATGTCTGAAAGAATACAACCTAGATGCATCATCCGTGTAAGTTTGGTCCACGTAGAGCTTATAGTTACGAGTAAATGGGTCTGTTCCAAATAATCAACTAAATATGAATCAGATGCAGCATCCAAAGTCTGTCTGGTAGTGTGCATCTTTAGATGCATCTTCCATGTAAGTTTGGTGAAGTTTTCCCATTTCTAGGCCTAGTTACTGGACCAACCTGCTTCTAAACCTTTAACCTTGGACATCAGTTTCGTGCCGCATGAACTTGCATGTCAGAACCTATAATTTATATAGGCCCCTGGCCATACTCGTTGCTTGAGTTGTGTATTTATATTTCATTTATTGCATTACTCACCTTTCAGAGAATCCTCTGGCGTGGGCATCGTTGTCTTTGACATCTCTCCACCCATGGAAAAAAATTGAGCAGTTGGATGAAGTCTGGGCAAGATGTTGAATAAAAACAATAAACGCGTATTTTTCTGGAATAACCTAAACAAAAAAAAAATGTATGATAGCTTTTGACAGGAAAACACTTATCCATTTGTCCTAAAACACTTATCAAACTTGCTATGACTAGCTTATGAAGGATCCCCCCCGCAACAGATTTCCGTGTTTTCTGATTTAACGAACACCTATTCGTATTTTACACTACATATCAATAACACAAATATATAGTTCCGCATTAAAGTCCTAGAATTAATGTTACGAAACAACACAAACAATCTCAAGAAGTTACTTAACCTGTTGACAATTAAAGGTTGTCCAATTAAAAAAAGACCAAACAAACCTCGGTAAAACAGTCAGAATCAACTCACATTAGATAAAACTTCCCTGTTGTTTTATACATTCAATGAATCACCTTTCCATTAGCATGATTAGTGCTACATTCTATATTTTGCCGTCAACAGTCGGAGCTTACGCAACGAAATTTTACCAGGAAACATTCATTGCCTTCTAAAGTCAAGTCCATGAACGACCCTCATAGTTCCGAATTAATAAAATACACAATTTTAGACGAAACCAAACTATGAAACTATGAAATCTACTTAGATACATGTTATAAGTTTAACATTATGCTGTAAAAAACCAAAATGACAGAAATTGTGTCATACCTCATAACGCAAATATACCCTGATTAGAGAGGTCTACTAAAAATCTAACTGCTAAAGCTGTGCTTGACATATACATGTACATATATTCGTTTACTACTTCTGTAACAAAACTTTTTCATAGAACTCTCCTAGGACTGAAATTGAAAAAAAAAATCATAAAATTTACCTATTTTATACCCTCCTCTTTAAAAAAAAATGATTATTTTTATAAAAATGTTGCACTCATCATTTCTTTTGGAAATAAAGTAACAGAAAGGTAACAATTGATATACATCTATAGGAAGGCATGGAGAGAAGATGTAATTTGAGCCTTATTTTGGTTTAATCCAATTCTGAAACTTTCATTATTCTTTTTTTATTTTCTGCAAGTCAATCACTTATTTTTTTTAATTATTTTTTTAATTTGAAAAAAAAATGTATTTCGATCTCTATAGCTAACTGCATTTTGAAATTTTCGAAAAAGAAACTTTACATTGTGGAGAAGGGGGAGCTAAGTTTAGTCATGGACCCCACGCAGCCAAGCTAGTGACATGTTTAATTACTGCCCGTGACGCCTTTGGCGTATAAGGTAGTATAATGTTTCCATAGCAATTTTTAAAGGTTAGGTCCATGCAGTGGTTTTCTGCCAGGGTGTCCTTCCCATAGCCATGGGTTCCAGATATTTTAACTTGCTGGATACTAGTACTCGCCTTTTGTCACTGAAGCATTTCCAGGGTCACCATGAGGAGTAGTTACATGTATAGAATAATCTGTGTCTCGGGACAAGCCCTCACCGGGTCCGTAGGACAATATCATTTTATCGATAGAACATTCTATCTATACATGAGGAGATGTGGCATGTGACTTGCTGACCTTTTCTGAGACAGTGGGCACTGAATGTTCCGTTTGCGACCGGAAGTACGAACGACGAAAAATAAAGGTCGATCACCATATCTCAATTTGATGCTCTATCACGTCAGTGAGTTTCAATTTCATAGCTTCAGCCCTTCTCGAGAAAATTAACGGACAAAATTCCATTTAGAAAATACAATTTTCCCCCAAAATCGCGAACGGAAGTGAAGTGGTGAGACCCTTTGTATACGACCCTTTGGCATGTTTACATTAAGAAATATTGAGCGCCTCTGGGTTTAGACTCCACAGAAGAGCTGGATTGGTTCTATATATTTGAAATGATTTATATCTTATTAAACAATTCCCTGTGTCAAGTGTTCAGATCCCAGGGTGTGGCTAAGTTGATCCTATATAGAAAATACATAAAATCTTTGAATTTTTTTTTTTAAAAGAAATCTAGAGGGCAAACTGATTACAATGAGTACTTATTCCTTTACCTTCTTCATGGTTTCAGTGTTCAGGTTCCAGGATGGAACAAAAAAAAAAAATAGCACTGAAAAGTATACAACATGTTTGAAAATCTTAATTACTCGTCGTCATCTGGTAGGCATAAATTGTCTACAGGGTTTAATAAGCAGATAGTCTACTTTTTTAATTACATTTCCCTGGGTACATCGTTAGGGTCATATGTTGAAATTTATTATACAGTGTACCTTATCTTATTTATTTTTATTTTTACCTCTAGGAGAAAAGCTTCACGAATATAATAATGATTATAAAATTCTGTAAATATTTTGACATATGAGTCCAGAATTAAAGCTCCAGTGGGACTAAAGTGGCCATACGCTGTGCAATTCATAATACTAAGGTGACTGTCAAGGCCCGTGGGTCTCTCGCTTCTTTTCATTTTTATTTTTCAAGGAAGGACACTAAAAAACCTTACCTTATCATGTATATAAGCATCTCGACTCTCCTCCGTCTTTAATTTGCACTTGTGGATTGTGATGATCTAAATATTTATATGCCTGACAGATGATGGGTTCTCATGGTCCTCAAGACCGACATAAGAAATTATGGTGTTTAATTTTGCCAAATTTCTATAAAAACATGGCTCATAAAATAGATTATGATAATTATGCCACTATAGACAGATAAAAAAAATTACTCGGATCAGTTCAATTGATCATTTCAATGACAAGCATAGGAGCCGGGGGGGGGGGCTGGCTAAGGGGGCATAACACCCCCTCCCCACTTTTTTTTTTTGCAAAGATAGACATAATATAGGCATTGAAAATTTGGTCTTAGTCCCCAAACGTTTTTTTTTTGTTGGTTTAGCCCTGATACCCCCCCCCCCCCACTTTCAATTACCCTCCCCCCTTTCAATTTACTTCTGACGCCTATGTTAAGTGATCCTATGTTAAGTGATCATTATTTGAAACATTATTTGATTTTTTATGTCTAAAATCATACCAATCCGCTGATCGTAAATGAGGCCGCTTTCCCAAACAAAAAGTGCTAAAGTATACCGTAGTAAACTATAGTTTTGTCTCAGCTGCGCCTCGGTTGACACATTTTTCTTCAAGTGAAACTATTCAATGTTACCCTCAACGACATGCAGTATTAAAATACTATAAATGCAAATATAAAAGATGAAATTTTATGAAAGATTAATCCAACATGTAGTTCCCTTTCAAAGAAAAAGATTCTTCATAGCCAGTTTTAAATATTTTCGGCAAACAAAGAACACAGCGTGATCTTGTAAATCTATCAATCATCTTTCTTTACTCCTCACGAAAATATAATTATTATTATTCTACTTTTATATAGCACCTTCTCTAATTATACAATTATCCTAAAGCGCTTTACATGTAAAAACAAGTGCAATATAAAAAGGAAGAATAGTAAATAAATCATAGGACATAAAAATAATACCAGACTAAATTTAAAGGTTTCTTTAACAGCAGTGAAGGAGAAACTTCAGCAGCAATGTACAATATATTCGAGAAGTTGTGTTAAGCAATTGTGGATACTAAAAAATTCCAAGAACTGATAGCTTTGAAAGCACAAAATTTGGCCAAAATCAGTAGGATCAAAACTATACAAGAATCAATGGCATCAAAACGTTTGACATTTCAACACTTTATTCAATCATTCCTCGGGATAAATTAAAGATTAAGTTTTAATTTTGATATCATAGGAAACATCTTCTTCAATAAAAATGGAACTCGGAAACTTTTATATCCTTTGTTGGTCATATATAATCTTAAGTTTGTTAATATCATTCTGATTCTAAATATAAGTACTCTGAAGTTGATATTAAAAGATGCAGGGATTTTCATTGACAATATTTTTGTAGATCTTCCACTCCAGTAATCTGGGAATTCCTATAGGTACTAAGATTGTCTTCTATTAACAGGACTGTTTTTGTACTTCTATAGTATTGTGAAGCAGAATTATTCGAAAAAATCTGTTCATGAAAAGAAGATTTCTTTTTTGCTGTTGCTTTCTCTTCGGCGTTCAGACAGAGGGAAGATGATTCATTAATTAACAATATTTATTTTATTCATACGTTGATTCAGTAAACTCGAAAAAGACAGAACAGAATCTGACTCATTTGTTTCATATTTGGATATTTTACTAGGCATTGCTAAACATTATTAGACATCAATGAAAGACATTAATGGCAAACTTACGACAAAAGTGATGACTTCGACTTTACTTTTGTCAACTAGCAATATACCTTTATCACCTGCATATGTTTTTATGTCTCCCAGTTAATTCCATTGCAGGAACTTGTTCTGCGTACGAAAAATTCTTAAACCAAGACAGGCTACTGACAAATAAGTTGATGTTACAAGGGCATCTCAATAATCTCATAGAAAGTCGCAAATTTTAGGTGGATACAATGACCTTGTTTGCAATTACAACGTGTCATTAGGTCGAATGCTCACTAGATATTTTTATAAAAACTGTGGCCATTATTTTTATACTAAACTGTCTATGGATTGTTCCGTTTACCCGATCACGATAAAGGGCTCACGGCGGGTGTGGCAGGTCGAAATTCAACAGGGGGTGCTTATTCCTATATTACATTTGATCCCACCTCTGATGTTTGACATTATTTGATTGGACTTCATTTCATAGGTTCACTTGCAGTTACAAGATCATTTATGTAATATTATAACACGTACAGGTATTTATATAAAAAGAAGGGAAAAGGCAACCTTAGTAAAATTGCTTTATAAAATAAGACTAATAGATGGAAATCATGTAATTAACTTACACATCCGGATACTGTATTAGTTAACATGTATGGATTTTATGCAGGTATGACGATCCGTACTATTTGTATCGTTGTAACAGTACACATGGCTACGGACGCCTGATTTATATTTATTTACCCTTCTCTTGTCTCATGCAAATAATCACTGATCTGTGAAACTTTAATCAGAAGGTAATCAAGGTACTGTATTAATTAACCCTAAATGATATCCTCATCACTTATTTAATTAATTTACCTGACGGTATATATAAACAACACTAGTGCTGTAACGTCAACATCATTGATATACAGTCGTTCGGCATTAATTGTTTTGTTTTCAAGAATTTTTGAGTTTAAACTCATTAAAACAACGCATTAATATGCATACATATTTGGTGTTTACTCGTCCAGGACGCATTTTTAGTGTGTATGGTGAGCCGTGCGGGATGGAAAGCAATTCTATCTACCCGCCTGAACTCCTGGAGACCATCGATTTTGGAAAGGAGCATCTAGCTTCATATGATCCTCCAATTTCCTTGTCCAGCCCAGGACCTAACTTAGTTGTTAGACCACTTCAACGATCGGATTACAATAAAGGTGACTCGTCTTTTGCTATTATTTGTCCATGTAAGTCCATGTAAGTCATATTTCAAGTATAACCAACTTCCTCAAATTCACAATAAATCAACATACAACATCTAGTAAAACATGAAAATTACATGTATGTATCACCAGTCTTGAGTTTTTTCCAATATGACATTTAAAAAAATCGTGAGATATTTTTGTTAAACTTCACCAGAATAAAATAAAAATAAAATAAAAAATATAATAAAATAGAAGCAGTCTACAAAGATTACTAATGTCTAAATATTGTGGAATAATATTTTAACAAATTAGGTAATTTTTTCATTGATTTGACACTTTTAATAGAAATAAGCTTGTAAAAAGTGTGTGTCCAATTACTAATATATTTTATTATATTTACATTTCCAATGTCTTTGTCCGAGATAAAATTACAAATTGTAAAATACTTTATTTCTACATAAATCTACTGGTTCATCGATAGGCGCGGTTTAAAAAAATCACGTGCGGGGCGGGACAAATAGAGACAGAAGCGGGCTATTAGCACGGGAATTTGCAGAATCAGGAGCATGTAAATATAAGGAATAACTGTCAGATTTTTTGGATTCATGACGATGATCAATCGATTGGCTTGAGTGATAATTTTATGCAAATTATCACGCAAGCCACTCGATTGATCACATCATGAATCCAAAAAATTAGACAGTCATTCCTTAATTAAACCTGTTATTAAATTCACTGAGTTGAAAATTATATCACTGATTTAATATATATGTATATATATATATATATATATATATATATATATATATATATATATATATATATATATATATATATATATATATATATATATATATATATATATATAATCTGTACCGTCTTAATTTTTTAAAATAGGAACAATATAATGATCATATTTTTATAAGCCAGAAATCAGGGCAAAAAATATATAGTTCCCGTTTTTATTAACTCCAGACCAAGGTCTTCTATTGTACTTTTAAATATATGCTAGTGCATTTATGGTTTTGAGATGAAACGAATCTGTTTAAAATGGTACAGCTATTTTCATTCTGAGATTTTGAATTTCGAAACCTTTACGATGAGGAGAGAATAACATACAAAGCTCATCACATACACTGTACCATGGTTACATTACAGGATACATGGATCTTCTTCTATCTGCTCTCTATGTTCGAGACAATGGGATATCTCAGCAAGAGTTTGAAGGTAAGACCTTGCATTTATACGGAAGTCGGTAGGTGCCAGGTATAAAAAATATTTTATTTTATAATTATCTGGCGGCCGCCACATAAACATCTGGCGGCCGCCAGAAACTGAATTATTATAATATTTTTTCTACATGGCACCTACCGGCTTTAACATTAAGTACTATTAATTTTGAACCAGCAAACGAATACACATTCATTTATGTTACTTTTGTTAGTCTGCTTAGTGCGGGTTTATATCCTTCTAACATTCAACTTTTCTATGCTTTATACAACCATTCCTTGTGATGAATTAAAGAGCAGGCCTTTTGACATGATTGAAAACTGCGTCCTCAATAAAAATGGTACCCGTAAATTTTCATCTTATAATTGTTCATCTACAAAATCATTCCGATTCTACATACAAGTACTCTGAAGTTGATATTAAATAGATGCTGGAGTTCATCATTGACAATATCTTTGTAGTGTTTAGAGACCAGGCTCCAAGACCATAAAATGAGAACAGACTTAAGTCAAAATTTTAATTTTTAATATCTTAAGTTTCATTTAACGTATTAGCTTTAAAAAAATTGCAGTTGTGCATAACGCTTCGATTCAAACATATGATGAAAATTTTATTTTCTAATCAAAATTATTTCAAAAGTTATATCGATTTGAAATTTTGACTTAAGTCTGTTCTCAGTTTATGGTCTTGGGGCCAGATCTTCCAACAATCTCTTGTCATCGATCGATGGACTCTAATTGTGTCCTATATTAGCTTTCCTGTTTTTATACTCCTATAAAGCAGAATTTATTCAAAAACTTCTTCATGAGAAGAAGAAAACTCTTGCTGTTCCCTTCAACTCACATTTAGATGATATATCGACGACGTTTTATCAATTAACAATACTTACTTTCATTCATATCATTATGTCGACTCGATAATCCCAGTTAACTGGAAATAAAAGTTACTACAGAATCTGCCACATCTGTTTCATATTTGGATGTTTTACTGACAATAGATGATTATGGCCAACTAATAACTAAACTGTATGACAAATGGGATGCTTCAGCTTTTCCATCGTCAACTTCTCTTATTTATGTAGCAATATTCCAACATCACCTGAATATGGTATTTATGTCTCACAACTGATTCGATACGTAAGAACATGCTCTGAATACGATCAAGTTTTAAAATGAGGAAAGCTACTGATAAATAAGTTGATGTTATAAGGATGCCAACAACCTCGTTTAAAGTCAGCTTTTTGTAAATTAATGACGTTGTTTGTAAACATCCTATCATTGGGTAGTACTTTGTATCTTCCAAATTTTCCTTCAAGAACTTTTTTTAACGAATATTCGTCAGATCTATTTTTGTTCGTATAACCAATATTTTATCATCTTAAATAAAACTTAAGTAAATTAATACAAGACAATATTATTGTTCATAAAAAATAAAGATACGAGAATTGAAATATTAATAGTATTTTTAGTAACTGCTTATAAAAAATAATTCTATTTGGAGATGTAAAATATGTGAATGAATGAATATATTACGAGTACCAATAAAAATATTTCAGATGTTCAATATCAATTCATAATTTGAATTTTATGTCGTACATCAGTAGAACTGAGGGACACAAACAGTGATGAGTCTGACAACATGAGAAACAAAACTCATTTTATTGATTATTATTTAATTAATAGGCAACTTTGTGACATTTTATGGGAGAAACGAACAGCTTTATGAGATACATAATGTATTCAGTGAATATATTTTAAAACTAGTACATTTGCTATTTTTAAAATACTATTTATTCACTTATGTTCAAATGGTCATTTAAAGCCTATACTATTGACTTTCAATGAATAAAACTGAGTCCTTTTTTGATATTAAAAATATTTCAAATTTAGTTTGTTTATTTGAGCAGTTATAATCGTTTCCTTTGTATGCTATTATTCTTTAATGACTTAAACACTATTTAGGTTATTGTTTTAATATGAATTAAAGGTTGAAGGATAGTGTTTATGTTTTTGACACATGCAATGTCTAACAATAAAACAATGTTTTAAATGTTAAAATAACGTAAATATGAGAACGTGCTTATCTAACTTTTTTTTTTGCCACTCAGAGAGATGGGACAAAATGAAAGCAAATGGCGGATCCTATTACATTACTGTTATAGAAGATACGTCCACACAGAAAATTGTAGGCAACGCTGTTTTACATGTGGAATACAAGTTTCTTCAACCGAGTGTAAAGGTGATTCTTTATCCAATATTACTTTGTGGTGTACACACCCCCTCCCTCCCCCCTCACACACACACACACACACACACACATTTGTCATACAAAAATGATTCTGCGTTTGTATCATTTCTTATAGCGATTGATGCAGAGTTTTAGTTTTTAACTGTATTTGCTCCTTCCATAACATTAAGATTGTTTTAATACTTTTTCAAATACTTTTTTTTATGTGCAATAACCAAAATTTTTTTTCATATGAAAAAATATTACTGCTTTAAAAACTTGCACATATAAATGTAATTTTTAAAGAAAAACTCGTAGGGAGAATCAGTTTAAAGCTGGCAGTTAAAATTAACATTTTTATTCACTTTACAGTAAAATAAAGTTTGCTTGACTTGAATTTTGATTAATTTTTTTATATAGTCATTGAGTGAAATAGCAATACTTTTTATGAAGGGTTCAGCCGTGGATTTCTCACCTGTTAGAAGATTATAAGAGTTAGAGTGTGTTTATGCTGTTCTTCAACTATTTAGTCATTATCTATTGCTTGCTTTTAATACATCGTTATTATTTACAGAGGGGTCGCCTTGAGGACATAGCTGTTTTAAAAGAGTACCGAGGAAGGCAGCTAGGAAAACTGTAAGATCCCTCAACTGCTTACAATTTTTATGATAAATCATGGATATTGAAAATTTATTCATAAAATATAATTTAAATTTTTTATATATAGGTTAATGGACGTGACGACCATTCTTTGTAAAAAGGTGGGATGTTTTCGTGTCTCTCTGCACTGTAAGGACGACTTTGTTCCGCTGTATCAGAAATTCCGATTTTATATAGATGACGCTGAAAACATCATGTGGTTGGATAAGAAATTTTTACAATCGTAGAGGTTGCCAAACGAGATTGGGCTTTATCGTCATTACACTCATTTACATTGATAATAAGTCCTAATATGGTCTTGTAAGGTCTCTCAGGTTTGAATCTTTCAGATTTTAGTTTGTTTGTGTTTTTTTTTTTTTTGTTTGTTCATACTATAGTCCTAGAGAGTAAATCATTTTGTTGTTTTTTTTTTCTTCAAAATATGAAGTTATTTTCATTTTTTAACCTATCAAAGTTATTAAAAAACATGTATGTATCTAAATTATTGTTTTGAAGAGTGTCTGGTAAGAAATAATAAAAGTTAAAGGCACACACATACTTTCTAAAAATGTCGAACATCTTCAGATGTGTCATTAAAATTGAAATTAGAACAGAATTCATTTTTATTTATTATAAATTTCATAAAACGTCTGAAGATGTTTGAATAGAACACTAACGTTATACGAGGGTTATTCGAAAAATTCTCGAACTTATATCAAAACTCTTTTACAATAAAATGGGGATCTGACCTACATGTATAGGGCCGGGATTGGTTTTAGCCTTTACAACAAGCTTGTCGATTTCTGTTACGGTCAATGACTTTAGGCTACATACATGTATTAAGGCGTTTCCCATAAATCATTTTATTTCAATATATTAAGCTCAAATAATAAAAGCAATACATATACTTTCCAGCGCAATAACCCAGACAAGTACATGTAGTAAACAGACGGATGAAAAGCAATATATTACATTGAAACCACAGGTACTTGTGGACAGGACCCCCCCCCCCCCCCACAGGTCAAAAAATATTTTTATGTATTTTTTTTCATAAATTATTCTTCTAGTACACATTTACAATGTATTCCACAAGAAAAATCCAAAAAATAACGCAGAATTAACGTTTTACTAAAAAATCACACCCGCGGTATTAATACCGCGGGTGTGATTTTTTAGTAAAACGTTAATTCTGCGTTATTTTTTGGATTTTTCTTGTGGAATACATTGTAAATGTGTACTAGAAGAATAATTTATGAAAAAAAATACATAAAAATATTTTTTGACCTGTGGGGCATATTTGGGGGGGGGGGGTTCTGTCCACAAGTACCTGTGATTGAAACAACAGATTTCCATCGCAGCTCATTGCAGACGAGAATACCTGTATCTAGTAACACAGAGTGGATAATTCTTGTCCTCGAAGAAAGTGTGCTATACAGCTGAGGTACAGTTCCGTTTGACCGTTTTAGTTACAATGGAATTCACGATTTGCTTTCTCTTTAGTGTCTCCTGCATCAAGAATGAAAATGCATAGATAGATAATCGAAGGAAAATACACACAAGGCCCTAAAAAATAAAATAGTCTGAAAAGGCGAGAATTAAAAAAAACTATAAAAGTGTGGTACCAGCTGGATTCGAACCACGACTCTAAAAAATGTACCCGCGGTGTTAATAGTCAGAGGTTATACCAATCGAGCTATTCTGGCTATGTAATAGAACCAGGATGTCACAAACAGGTGCCCTATTCTTTGTAGGTTTTTTGTGAATTTCGTCCTTAGGGCAGGGATGCCCCTAAAAGAAACGTTTTAAATTATTCCTTAGATCACAGCCTATCAAAATATCAATTTTATTTAGGGGCAGGTCTGCTATGGAAGGATTTCTAGGCCAGAATTCATGCAAAAATCAGTGCTTTATCGGAGAAAGCGATAATTTAATCAACTTTGGGGGTTAATTTAAAAGTTTCAAATAATAAATTTTAGGTTCAAAATGCAAATTTGAAAGATTTATAAATGTATAAGGTAGAAAATAATTAACGAAGATTGATTTTTAAATGTGACTTTTTCCTGGAAATTTTTTTCTCCTATAGGTCAATTCTTTTGAAATTCCGAATACATCCTTTTGTATTTAACAAAAAATAATGTCTTTGGACATATCTATGTAAAATGCTGGAGAAAGCGGGAGAATATGTCAAATTTGAGTGTAAATGCTACTATATGGCATAGACTGTTTTGGAGTGGTAGAGGCTGTGTTTCAGACAATGGAAGGTCTGTGTGAAAATGGATTATTAATAAAATAAAAATCTGATCAAAACCTTTAAAGAGTTGGATGCTTCGATCATTGTTGCGAATCTAGTGTAAGCACAAAGTTATGCGATTAAAAAAATCAAACACTTACAAACGAACTTATGCCACTGAAACAATTTTTAGCAAACTAAATGTTTAAGTGATGTAGAAATCTAACGTTTCAGAATGAGTGGGTATTGGATTAGTGTGAAACGCATAGCGAGAGTTATCTTTTTGACCTTATGTACAATGTTTCAAGTGTGCTACGTGGTTACAAAACGTGTTGATTTCATAATTAAGTAATATGATTTCAATTTAATTACATGTACATAATATGAAATTTCACAAATCAACAAAATAAATATTTTTACCTACGATAATGTGCTCTTGAATTTTTTGAAAATAATCTTACGAAGATTGACATTGTCCGCAGTTTTTTTGACAGCCCTCGTACAATACAGTTTGTGTTTTTCTGTAAATCCCCCAGCTCTCTTTCTTTCTTTCTCTCTTCTACTTTGCAATTTGTTAGGGGTGTCTTGTGTACTTTTATGCAATTCTAGAAGATGAGTTCTCAAATCAACATCTTGCATTTCTTAAGTTTAACAAAAGATCCTCTTCTCCCTTTTTCAATACCCAGGACCTAACTCAGTGACGTAATTCACATTCCAAATTGTAATCAGGGCCCTATTTTACAAAAGAACTAACGATTAAGACCAAAATTTTAGCGTGTTCTTAAATCTGACATACTTTATAAATTCAGAAATAAAATGATTGGATAAAAATATCCATCAAAATTTGTACAAAATAGAAATATTGCCATTTTCAAATTAATTTGAAGAAGAAAATAATTTGGCAAAATTTGGTCTAATTCGTAAGTCCTTTTGTGAAAAATAATAATAATAATACACCTCTACATGTTGAAGTTAGCAGAGATGATTTATCTCGAGATGCACACTATTTATAACCAGACTTGCTTTGGATCTGCATCATATCTTTAGATAAGTGACCATATTTTATTTTATGGACCAGATTTTATTTTATGGAGCAGATCTGTACCAGAGTATGATATGCATCATATCTTTAGATAAGTGACCACATTTTATTTTATGAACCAGATTTTATTTTATGGAACAGATCTGTCCCCGAGTAACTATGAGCCCTACCTGGATCAAACTTGCAGGGATGTTTTATCTCCTCGGATGCTGCATCTGACCTAGATTTTCTAGACGAGTGACTACTGACCAGGTTGGGGATTGGAGGTATAGTCCTACCTGGATTAAAATGGCATAGCTGAAGCTTCAGAGTGATATTTATTTCTAGTTCTTTAATGAGAGGTCATTAATAAAGAACTTAAAATACATGTAACTAATGGATCTTTATCATGTTAATTTTGAATTTACTAGGGGGAGGTAAATGCAAGATTTTCAACATGATATTTTGCATTTACCTCCCCTAGTAAATTCAAAATTTACAAAATGATATCTTACTGAACATTCTTAAGGTATGAAACTGCTCTACTTATAAACAGCAGTTGTAGAGAGCTTTTTACCTATTTTACTGAGTGCTCTACTTATAAACAGCATTTGTAGAGAGCTATTTACCTACTAGTATTTTACTCAGTGCTTTACTTATAAACAGCATTTGTAGAGAGCTTTTTACCAATTTTACTGAGTGCTTTACTTATAAATAGTATTTGTAGAGGGCTTTTTACCTATTTTACTGAGTGCTCTACTTATAAACAGCATTTGTAGAGAGCTTTTTACCTATTTTACTGAGTGCTTTACTTATAAACAGCATTTGTAGAGAGCTTTTTACCTATTTTACTGAGTGCTTTTCTTATAAACGGTATTTGTAGAGAGCTTTTTACCTATTTTACTGAGTGCTTTTCTTATAAACGGTATTTGTAGAGAGCTTTTTACCTATTTTACTGAGTGCTTTACTGATAAATAGCATTTGTAGAGAGCTTTTTACCTATTTTACTGGGTGCTTTACTTATAAACAGTATTTGTAGAGAGCTTTTTACCTATTTTACTGGGTGCTTTACTTATAAATAGCATTTATAGAGACTTTTTACCTGTTTTACTGGATGCTTTCGATAAGGATTTTCTCTGATTGCAATAGAATTATTTTTTAATTTAAGTAATAAGATATGGACATGGTTCGTTATATTGTCAAGTTTTCGAAAGGTATTCTGAACCACATATAAACCTTTCTTATAAGAACATTTTTCAGAATGACGAAAAATTTTATTTACATTAACAATGTACTAGAATATTTGTTCATTTAAGGAATGATTTTCTAATTTTTTGGTTTCATGGTGTGATCAAGCATTTGGTTTGCATGATAATTTGCATAAACACCGAAGGCGTTTGTGCGTAAAATTATCACGCAAACAAATCGCTTGATCATCATCATGAAACAAAAAAAGCTGACAGTTATTCCTTATGATTCCGTAAATTCATAAAAGCTATGGCCATTTGCCTGTGCGTAAACTTTTTAGAATATGGGCCATAACTCAAGAGCCCCTTGGCCAATTATTGTCAAATTTGTCAGAGGGGATCCTTGGCCCAAGGGCTCCCGTTTTTACTCTAACTAGGGTTGTGACCCTTAAACAAAGGGAGATAATTAGATAAATAAAACCAAAAGTACTGGTTGCTAAAAAATCTTCTTCTCAAGAACCACTGGGCAGATTATCACCAAACTTACATAAAAGGTTGAGGATATGTTGTAGATTAAAATTTGCACGGGGATTTACCCTGGGGCAAAGGGCGTGGTCTCAAGGTCACTTCAAAGTTGACCGAAAATGACATTTTATTAAAATGTTGATACATGTATTTTGCTTACTATAAGGACTAGGATCATCAAATCTTGTCAGTTGATATATCTAAGGACCTCATATCATGTTGACTCAAAAGTAGGTCACGGTGACCTACTTTTTAAATTTTGCGGCCATTCTTTTTCAAAATGATTTAGAGGCATATTTTGAACAATTTAAGGCCTATGATCATCAAACTTTGTCAGATGATGTATCTTGGGTCATCGGAGTACGTCGACTAAAAAGTAGGTCACCTTGACCTACTTTTTGAATTTTATGGTTAATCTTTTTCAAAACAATTAAGGCCATTATTTCGAATACTGAGAGGTTTAGAATCATTAAATCTTGTAAGCTGATGCATCTTTGGGCCATAAAACATATTTATTATAAAGTAGGTCATCACAGTGACCTACTTTTTTAACTTTGCAGGCATTCTATTTCAAAGCGTTTTAGAGGCATATTTTGACATTTTAAGGCCTAAAACTTCATAAAACTTTGTAAGTTGATGCATCTTGGGTCTTCGAAAAACGTGAACTGAAAAGTAGGTCACCGTGACCTCCTTTTCAATTTATGTGACTATAATTAAATATTTCAGGTACTAATTGGCTTAGAATCATCAAACTTTGTCAGTTGATGCATCTTGGGTCTTCAGAGTAGTTCGACTGAAAAGTAGGTTACCGTGACCTACTTTTGAAAATTTATGGCTTTAATTAAATATTTCAGGTACTAATTGGCTTAGAATCATCAAACTTTGTCAGTTGATGCATCTTGGGTCCTGGGAGTAGGTCGACTGAAAAGTAGGTCACCGTGACCTACTTTTCAATTTATATGACTATAACTAAATATTTCGGGTACTAATTGCCTTAGAATCATCAAAATTTGTCAGTTGATGCATCTTGGGTTCTCGGAGTAGGTCGACTGAAAAGTAGGTGGATAGAAAAGTAGGTCACCATGACCTACTTTTGAAAATTTATGGCTTTAATTAAATGTTTCAGATACTAATTGGCTTAGAATCATCAAACTTTGTCAGTTGATGCATCTTGGGTCCGTAGAGTTAGTCGACTGAAAAGGAGGTCACTGTGACCTATTTTTGAAATTTTATGGCTTTATTTAAATATATCAGGTACTTATTGGCTTAGAATCATCAAATTTTGGCAGTTGATGCATCTAGGGAGCTCAAAGTATGTCATCTGAAAGAAGGTCACTGTGACCTACTTTTGAAATTTTATGGATATAATTCTAAAAATATTTTAGGTATTAATTGGCTTAGAATCATCAAACTTAATTGATGCATCTTGGGTCCTCAGAGAATGACAGTTGATAAGTAGGACACCATGACCTACTCTCAGGTACTAATTGGCTTAGGATCATCTTGGGTTCTCAGAGTGTTTCTTCTAAAATGTAGGTCATGATGACCTAGCTTTGGAATTTCAATGCTTTATCTAAATATACAGGATACTTAGAGGCTTCAAATAGAAGTGATAGGTTGTACAGTTTATCAGAAGAGCGATTCAAAGCCCTTGGGCCTCTTGTTTTTAACCATGCCTATCGATGAACTAGTAGCTTTATGTAGAAATGAAGTATTTCACTATTTGTAGTTTTATCTCGGACAAAGAAATTTTAAAATGTAAATATTTAAAGTTGAAGACTTCACATTAGGGCAAGGTAATACATCAATATGAAAGCCACTTTAGGGGAAAACTATCTATCATGAATAATAGGCCTACATGCAGGGTTCTTTTCGCCCACATTTTATTTTCGCCTATTTGGTCCTCTTTCTAAAACGGGGCAAATTCAAAGTAAACGACATCATCTCTTTATCGCAGCTGTGTTTGGGTGAATTTAAGACGGGGTAAAATTGATAGCAGGTCTAAAAGGGCGAAATAACCCAAGGCGAAAAGAACCATGTATACAGTCAATAGGGAGTGATAGAAAAGGGTGAAATGCATAAGCTAGCGTATTAGTTATAATAATACAATGTTATTCCAAAATCTAACTAAATTATACAACCTTTTTCACATACGAATTCAATATACATTTATAATAGATTTTCAATATACGTATTTAAGATAAATCTGAAACAAAACATAAACAGGCTTTGTTTATTTTTCATTAATTGTTTGAATGTGGAATAGTGAACTATTGAACAGCGTAAGTCTGATCGAGA